ATGTGGGGTTTTGCCATCCTAGTCCAGTTCTTCACCGGCTGCTCGGCCATGCTGGCAGATACGCGGATGGCATACGCCTTCGCCCGTGACGAGGCCCTACCTTTCTCCTCGTAACGCACCCGATTCTTTCCCCCTTTCTTCGCCCAAAAGCATAGCACTAACAAAGACAATCGTCAGCTTCCTGTCCAAAATCAACAAATACACCCACACCCCCGTCAACGCCGTCTGGTTCGTCGTTCTCTTCAGCATTGGCCTCAACTGCATCGCCATCGGATCAACGCAAACGGCCACTGCGATCTTCAGCATCACAGCCCCAGCACTGGATCTCTCATATGTCTCCGTCATCCTTGCCCATAGACTCTACAAGGACAAGGTTAAGTTCGTCGAGGGGCCATTCACGCTTGGTCGATGGGGCGCAGCCATTAACTGGATTTCCATCGTCTGGGTCTTGTTCATAAGCACGGTGCTCTTCTTCCCGCCTACTGTGCCGGTCACGGCGTCGAATATGTAAGTCTTGTCCCTGGCAGCGCAAGTACTCATGCCGCGATGGGCTGACTGGTCAACAGGAATTATGCGATCTGCGTGGGTAGCTTTATCGCTGCGTTTGCGCTCTTTTGGTGGTGGGCGTATGCGCGGGGGTATGTTCCCCTATCTACGTCTCAAGGTACTAGTTCCGCATTGACGCCTCTATCATTTTTAGGAAATATGCTGGTCCGCGGACGAACGACTATATTCAAGAGGTTCCCACGGAGGATTTGGAGGGGGATTATGGAACATTGCGTTAGTTTTTAACGAGGTCGTGTGTCGATCTATCTACACGTTTGGTCTGATATGGGTTTGATTGGATATCTGTCTTGAGTCGTCTCTGAGCCAGGTTATTATGTTTTAGACGTTCCATTAGATGGTTTGAGATTATAGATAGCTGCAGGTATCCTACGTCGATGCCGCCATTTCACAACGCCGAGCCTGTTACAAGCTACGTACAAATACATCCTGAGACATGCCTTATATATCCTGGCATCTCCGTGATCAACTTCCCGCAACAACTGCCAGACCCTCGTAGATCTTCCTCTTCACTGCCAGGAAGCTTCCCGCACCGCGTCCCATGGCCTGGTTCATGGCCGCCGACTGCGCAGATGCCTCGATCTCAATCCTGCCAGTACCCGATTTGCGAACAGCGACCATTCCATCGATGAGGAGCGTTCCTTCACCACGGAACTCCGCCTTGTGTCCAGCGCTCTGCATGACTTTGCGCAGATCCGCCAGTCGGAAATCACCCACATGCAGAGGTCGAGCCATGGACCGGGTACCAGCCGCCATGTTCGCCGGTAAAACTTCAAGCACAGGGAAAACGTCGGATTTGTCCGCAGCTGGCTTGGTTCCGCCGACGGTGGATGTCGCTACAGAACTGGCCTCGTCCTGCAACACCTTTTGTTTCTTGCTTGCCGACTCCTGGGTTCCCTCCTCGGGAGGGCTGAGTTCTGGCCCTCTCAGTTGGGCGGTTAGTGTTACTACGCCCAAACTGCGAACGTGCTGCCATTTCAGGCGCCGGACGAGATTGGTGCTCAGCTTGACCATCCAAGCGTTGGTATCAACACTGGCATCGACAATCTCACCGTTCACTGGCGTGAAAATGAGGGCCGAGTCTGGAGATGAGACATCGACGCCAGCTTTGGCGGCGAGAAGCTTCTTGCACTCTGTCGCCAAGGCGGTGGTTTCCTCCTTCATCCCTCCAACCAAGATTAGTTTCCGCGGCTGGATGAGTGGAATCAGCATCTCCAAACTGCGCTTATCGTGGAGTCCAGTGAAGTCCACAAAGGCAAGACGTGCGTTGATGGTGATCGAGGCCTTCTTGAACACGGCTTTCGCGGGCCCTTCAAACGATTGCTCATCGGCTTCATCCTCTGACGAGATCGCCGCATCAGCACCGTCTGCATCCTCGGTCATGCTGAGATCGTCCGCGACACCCGCCTCCCTCTTATGAGCGTCGCCGGCGATCTGTTGCCGTTTGGCTCCGCTATGGGAGGCTCGACGTCCGTGCGGGCCCGCCTCGTCCCACCGTCGTTTTTGGCCCAATTTGGTTTGGGCTTCGGACCGACGCTGCTGCATGTCTGCCTCTTCCCGCTCCTCGGCTCGTAAATACTCCTCGGGCCGAATGAATTCTCCATACTCATCTCCGCGCTTTCTTGGAGCTACATATGGGAACATTCGTTCGCGGCCCTTCTTCCCACGGACATCGTAGTCGTAGACGTTCTTCCGCCGAAGAAGAATGTTCACCCCCAGATCTTCGTCGCTAAGACCCAGCTTGTTGCGGTTGGCATGAGCCAATGAGGTGGAAAAGTTCAAGACCCGTCCCTGCTGCTCCGTATCCGAATCTTCCGACGTAGAGCTCGATCGGTCGTCAAGTACATCCGTCGGGTTCTCAAGATTTTCTTGACCTCTTGTCTGCGATGCATCCTGCAGTTGTCTCTTGGTGGCGAGATATTGCTGATAGATCAACTGCTCCCCGGGGTCAAGGGGTGTTCGCCGTACATCTGTCCAGGAAAGTTCCCGTCCGCCGCTATGGACCTGCTCAAGGAGATCACCGTCTGAGGCTTTCTCCAAGGCAACGCCATCCTTTCTCTCTTCATACCATTGCCAGATCATGCTTCCAAGGGTCTCCCTGTGATGCTCTTTCTTACTATCTGATGGCCGTTCTTTGCGAAGGTTTTCGGTCAGTAGGAGCAGGTTGTTCGGTCCTTCGGCTATCAAGCGTAGGGACTCCTTTGCAAATCCCCAATCCAGAGATGTATCGGACGCAATAATCACCTTTGGTTTTTGATCCGTCAAAATCTTCTCCAACCTTTTCCTGCGTTCAACTGTCCTGAGATGTTTGAAGGTGAAAGGACCTAGTCCCTTAGATCCCCCTTTGCCCTGGCCTTGGCCACCGGACCGCTGGCCATCAGCATTCGACTGTGTTTGGCCCGTTACAGCGTCCACACCTTCCGCTGCTTCGAATTCACGCACAATGTTCTCATCCATCCATTCAAGCATACTCCTCGCCAGCCGCATTGTAGTGTGCGCTTTCCTTCCAGCCATATATAACCCAGCGTTCTTCAAGGCAATATCACTTTCATTATTCCCGCCAGCCACATCACGCCACGCGTGCTCCAGCGCATATGCAAGCTCCAAGACTCGAGCACTAGTGTCAGTTGGGATCAGGACAGTACCGCCCTTAGCGAGACTGCTCCGGATCATATCCAGAAGCAAGTCATCGCGTTTCTTTCGCCCACCAGGAAGAGCAAACTTGTCTCCTCCCCGGGTGCTGCAGACCAACGCCGTCGGCTTGCGCAGTTGTTCAATGACCTCTGCTCCACTGGCACCTGAGCCTCCGAACCATGCAGCGCCGGCCACAACGCTTTCTCGGGCCTGGTTCCAATCTACCGCGTAGACAATGGATTCCATACCATGCTGAATATGCCATATAGTTCCACCCACTGTATGTCCAGCATTGTACGCAGTGAGAGTCAGCCCGTTAAGCGGCGGCGAGAAAGGAGACGAGAGCGGCTGGTGCGGTTGGGAATACTTTAACGGATGAATGAGAGAAAAGTATCTGGCAATCTCCTCGGCGGTGGGAGGCTGAAGGAGAATTCGGCCAGCGCTGCTAGCTGCCGCGTTCCCTTCGCCATCTGTGACAGACGCCGCGGCGGATGCGGCTGAGGTTGATGCGCCGGGTTCCGAGATTGAAGCTTTTGGTAGGAAGGTCGCTGCAAGGGGCGAGGAGGCATACAGATCTTGAAGAAGTGTTCGACCGAAAGCGATGATAGGACTCGTAGCGTAAACAGGTATCTGGGTAAAAAGAGGGAATGTCTTGCAGCAGTGAACGAAAGCACCAATGTGCGCCGGAGTCGCGTGCGTTAGAAGTATAAGTGACAAGGTAGGAATATGCCTGGTCGAAATTTGTGAGTATGCGATGAGGAGCTTAGCTTAGCAAGCTGCTTACTTCTCTAATTCTAGTAGGTCCAGCGTATCAAAGGTATCGTCCCAACCGACGTCCACGAGGATTTTGATGCCACCGTCAAGTTCCAAGATAGATTGTGAGGCCCTGGAGGAGGACTGCGCACCCAGCAGGGGAGTGAAGGTGAACATATTGGCGGTCCTTCCAGGGCTACCCCGGAAATATCTGGTGCAGTAGAGGTGGTTTTAGGAGCCGACGATGGGAACACTCTCAATTCAGTGATCGGCCATAGAGGGGGTTGTGAGTATAGAATATCAAGTCATATCATTTTATCATAGCCGGAGGAACAACGGTTAGCACAGCAATGAGAGCTGTTTAGGTGCGATTGATAATGAAGACAATAATATGCGATACGTCCCCGACGGTCATTTCACTACCCATGTTTGCCTCGTTTGCATTGCGACCCTTCCTGTGAAATATGGTGCCTTAGGCATCCTATGGTCGCAGTGTTACCAACCACATCACGACTTTATTTACATTCTATCTACCTGCATCGCTCTCGCTTGCATCATGCTTCCTCAATAGCTCACAATATAACTTTCCAGTTCTACATTCGATCACTTGGATCTGCACATCTTGCTATCTTCAGCAGAGGATACTTACAATTACTCTAAGACCCTCCAGAGTGCTCCCACCCTCTACTTTAATGGCGACAGTGTTGATGAGCATCCTAGAAGAGACTTGGACAGATGGATGAAGAACAGAAAAATGATGCTTGGTCATGAACTAAAATAATAGAGGCATATTGCAAACGGAAACATTGACAAAAAACACTGACCAAGACAGATGGCACAGATGGCTTAATCCATCCTGCGGCCTAGCCATAAATCCTACCCCTTTACCTAGGTTAAGTAATCAAGAGGCTCAATCCCGGCAATACCGCAGAATCCGCGTAGACAGCATGTCCTATTGCTGTGCGGCCATCAATCTCGTGTCCGGTCGTCATCCACAGCTTGCAGGGCCGCATAGCAAGACCGATGACGAACCCGATCCAGGGCCATACTTATTTTCGACCAGTACGTTTCGGATATCTGCTTTGCTGCGCGGGGGCAGCTGTACCAGCAGTCGTCGATTTCTTTGTTGTGCGGGATTTTTTCGCCCTGCCAGCAGTGCCAGCAGTCGCAGAGCCATCATTATCGTCAGAATCAGCAGCGGCACCAGCAGCCTGCTTTGGTAAGCCGCTTGCAGCTCTCTTAGCTGTCTGACCTTGCTCCGCTGGATTTCTGTCGTGGAATGGCCTGTGCTCGAGGGAATACTCGGGTACGAGCTTCAATTCATCGTTGCTGATGTAATTGGGAATTTCGTCGCCCGGCCATGTCCTGATGCGCCGGAGAGTTCGCCGAGGAAAGTGTTTCTCATGATTCTTCTTCAGCTGCTCTAGGGCTTCAGTCACGAGCTCGTGTTCTTTTGATCTCTGAATCTCTGGCTCGGACTCTGGCTCTGTCTCTGGCTCCGACCCTGTGTCCGGTGGTACCCCCGGCGCTTGTTTTGGCGTTTCGTATACGATGCGACGGGGGCCGGCCTGACCCGGTCGGGGACCTATTTTGATCCTTGCAACTGCCCTGATGCCTTTCTTTGCAGCCAGGTTACCTACATGACGTTAGTAAATCATTCCAGGCTATAAATAGATTTCATAAGCCTCCGAGTCTTTTGCTTGGACGAACAGGTCATCTCTTACCTCTCTTACCTGGATCTTGCACAGCAAGTTTTGGCGACGAGATCGTGGGCAAACCATTAGATGCACCATCCATGGCATCCAGGTCAAGGCCAGACTCGAGTGTCTGACCATTCGGATCCGCATCTGTTCACAAAGCAGAATCATTAGCTCATCGGGCCCGATCATGCAAGATATTGGGAACCAGTGGAATGCCATATGCAAGGGGGAAATGAGGAATGCAAGCGAGACTGTCCGTTTTTCCGATCATATGCGTCCAATGATAACACCAGATGCATAGCAGCTTATGATTGGAGAAACAAACCTTAAGTCCGCATTGACAGATTCCTAATTACATCACTTGATGATCTTGAAGACATAGAGGAAAAGACACAGAAACATGCTTATGACCAGAATGATGACAATGAACCAAATCCACTTGTACTCACCAATTGCAGGCTCTTGCCCGTCGTCAAGGGCTAGCGGTTTTGCAGGGCCTGCCTCAGCCCCTAGGCGATTTGCGCCGTACTCGTTGCGGTAAGTACCGATGCCTGGAAGTTGATTTTCTTCATCGCCTACTCCTTGCTGCCCAGGGTTCAATCCTCTGCTGTACATGCCTTGCCGGATTGGGGCAGTCGGACGTGTGTAGTCCTTCTTGTAGGACCAACGCCAAAAATCATGGAGACCCGGAGGAGGAGGAGTAATCGGCTTCAGGTAGAAGTTGGTGGCTGGGGGATCTGGAAGAGGTGGGAGAGGTTGAGCGACGCCTTTCATAAACTCTTTATAAGGCCCGACTCGCAAGTGCGAGATCATTGCCTCCCTTCCCTCGGGATCTTCAATACAGGCTCTGTGCCAATTATATGACCACTCGTACAGCTGCTCCTTCGTCAGACCCCGCCAGCCAGAGGGTGGGCCGGGCTCGAATTTCCACATCAGCTTGTGCGAACCCGGGGCCTTGGGCAGCTGCTGGTTCCCCTGCTGTGGAACAGGTACGACCACCCACCGGGGGTACGCACCGTGTTCACCGTAAGAGACATGAGGCCCTAAAGCAAGTTGGTTGATTGGATACTGCTGCGGTGGCTGCACCTGCGGCACCTGCTGGACCTGCTGGACCTGCTGGACCTGCGCTGCCTGCGCTGCCTGCGCCGTCGGGAAGATCCGGCTCATCATGGCCGCTAGAAGCACCCTGTTTTCTTTTGCTGCCTTATCTGTCTTCAGCTGGGACAGCATAGTCCCTCGAAGCGAAGCGCGGGCGTCCTCGAGCAATTTCTCAGAAGGCTTCAGGCCGCGGCGGTATAATTCCCAAGGCTCTTCTGGCTCCGGTTCCCCAGGAGCTCCTTCGGTCTCTTCTCCAGACACGCCAGCTTCTTCCACATGTTCAGCTTCCGGCTTATCGGAGTCGGAGGCTTTTCGTTCTCGGCCCTGTTGCCGTGTCGGTGATGCCGGCATCTTGGCTTATTGAATGGTATCCTCTGCGATCAAAGACAACTAAATCTGAGACCGGTGGATGTTAGTCTCTGTTCAATAGAAGGGTATGAGTTGCGCATACCTATAGTGAAGTATCCTTCGGTCTTAGAAGTACACGTTTCAACGATATTGAAGGAACAGGCAGCGGTGGCAGGTACTTTAATCAGACAACTACGCTCCTGAGAATCAGCTTTCACTTTTAAAAAGAGAAACGAAAAAGAGAATGGGTTCGTAGACCCTTCAATGCCGAACGTACCTATTTTGGTATGTTTGGCAAAGTCCTTTGTTCCTGTATATACCCTAGATCCAACACCAAATATCCGCTTTGTTGGACGAGACAAAGAAAGTGTTCCCGTTCCCACTGAAAGCCCAAAGGGATGAGCAGAAACAGTTGGAAAGAATCCTCCAAGGAGAAATGAAAATGGATCAACAGACCAAAGATAGTCCAGTTCCAAGCACTCAGCAAACTATACAGAGAAAGGAAACAACATAGCCGAGCTAAACAACCTCAAAGACCATGAGATAATGACACCCAAGAGCTCGCTAACTGAGATTCGCCCATAAATATCAGATGAAGCAGAAGGCAATATTTCGACAAAAGGTCAAGGAAACAATCGATGGACAGTGTACGGCGAAGAAGAATAATCCCTTACCCTAAAATCTCCATAACGTCAGTGGCCACTCCCTCTTCCCATATAGTGGGGGGAGAAAGAAAGCCAAAGAATGGAGAAACCCTCCAGGTTGTTCTTTTCTCCTTCCATGTGCTTGAGCTCGTGCCCTGGGCCATGGAATGGACACCGGCGCTGCTGAAAGAGGACAAAGGAGCAACAAAGAAAGTGTAGGCGCATTCCTCGGGAGATTTCGGTCAAAACATCCAGCCTGGCGGGAACAGACGCAGGGAGGGCGATGATAACAGAGTATCCACGTAGTAAAGGCTCTCTGCTGGTCAGAATTCAATGACCGAGTAAGTGTTAAGCCGCAGGTTGGTGAAGTTATCAGAGAGGGGATTCCTCTGCCCCTGGTTTCGTTCCCTATTTTCTTAGCTAGCATAAAAGAGTTGACTCCTCTTCATCTCACAGGCCCTGAATCTTTTAAGAGGTTTCCACCCTTTTTACTCTCTTATAGGTACTGATGGTAGAAGCTACCTTCTCCATAGCCCGCTTCTTAAGGATTTAACCATTACCTCTCAAGAGACATACAGTTATATATCTAGACATTAGAGTAGATAATAGAAAAGGAAAGAATAACTTCTCTTACTTGATGCTCTTATGAAACTATTATGGGTCATGGTAACATGAGGACTCATACCGAATAGTTCGAGGACTTGATAGACAATGTCTAGGTATGATATTATGAGATGACAGCAGATGACCTATCAAGCTGATAGACTAGTTATCATTTACAGAGTATACTCACTAGTGTTTTGGACTTAGTCATCGCAGGCCTAGCAAAACTGATCCAGCCAGACTGATTGTAATGGCAGGATTTCCCTGAGGAATGTGCCTATCTATGGTGCCCACTCCCAGGCCTAGCACATGAATGCAGTCACAGAAGCGAACACAACACTGTCCACAACCCAACAGACGAACATAGTAAGGTAGTAAGAATTCATATTTTCGGTCCTGAAGCATTGGAATGTAGATTCCTGGTTGTAATGAGGTTTGAAGAGGCGAACCCTTCATGTCTAGGTCATTAATCTGTGATATCAGCATCAGTATCATCAAGCTGGATGCAGACTCAGATCAGGGAACAGCGATCCGTGACTCCGGAGCATGTAGTCTCTTGCCACTGTCTGTTGCGAAGAGGGTTTCAGGTATGCTCTCAGCTTGAGACTGGCGAAGAGTAAACGGACATTTGAGTAGGGACATCACTCTATAACGACATTGTTTGTCCCACTTGTGAATGTCTGCTGGAAGAGAAGGACGCGTCTTGTACTACATGCCCCCATAGCTCAGTCCTAGTTGGACAGTGATCATCATCTATTGACTGCACTATGCAGGAGAGAGCAAACTTAGTAACTGCTCTTTGGGATTTGGAAGCTGTCTAGGAGAGATGAATGACGGAAGCTACTATAGGGTGGGACACATGACTGATACGCCAAAGAAGCAAGTCATAAGAGCCTGAGTCATCTTCAACATGATCAACATCTGGTCAATCATCGGAGTCCTTACCAAGACATATGAGTTTAGTCCATCAAGAAAACTCTCTGCAGTCTGCATTATTCTGCATTATTGCCAAGTATTAAGGCTATGTACGACTCGGCGAAGAAAGGAAACTCATATGTTCAGTTGGACTCAAAAAATACATTGTCATAGCGATTAGGCCTGACAATGACCCTGCATCTGGTAGGTTACAGTATAGAAGGGATAGACACCTTTTCCAGCTGCTATGTGAGATAAGCCAGCTCCTGATCAAGTCAGATCTATTGCCAGTATCTTGGCTCATCGAAAACATGGTAACGGTGACCACGAACACCCTGGCCACGGAACATCGTGGGGAATCGACGGCCCTCAGCAATCATTTCCTCGGGAATGCGCACTTCGTTCTCGGGCTCGGGCTCTCCGATGACGAATTTCCCAACCTAGTTTGAGCAGATTAGCATATACAAACAAAGTCTGATGATGATTATGATAGATACTCACCTGAATCTCAGTATCAGTAATACTATCCCGGCTGATTCGGGCGTAGCCTGTCCGCTTCAATCTCTTGTAAAGAATGTATTCGCACCACCGGTCCCAGTCTGTAGGGTCGATGTCCTTCATGCCACTGAGCTCGCTGACATACGTGTTGTAGTTGCCTTCAAGCGGCTTAGTGACCAGATAGCTCAGCAAAACCATCGGGCGGGGCGATTCGCCCATGAGTTTTGCCAAATACTGGGACTGTAGGCGACGATCTTCGGGGTCTTCCTCCTGTCCGGAATGGAAGACAACGACGTCCACCAGCTCACCATACATATCCAGAGTTGCGTGAATGGCGGGTGCCAGTTCGCCGACGGGCGAAGGAAGCAGATGGTGGGTTGAGTTGACGATGGGGAACTTTGAGAGGAGAGCAGCGCCCCATGTATGCTTGTTAGGACCAGGTCCAAAATCTGCATACATGCCCAATTCTTCCGCCAAAACTTGACTAATGTCGCGATTACCCATAATGATGCGCTGGGTGTCAGATTCCAGGAGACCGATCACGTCGATCTCAAGCTCCTTGATGACATCGCGCATACGTCGCTCCGAAGACCACATATCGTTATCGAGACCGAAGTGAACGGTCCAGATACCGAGGGTGGCAACCTTGTCCTGTTTGTGATATGGTGTGTAGTCATTGGTTGGGAATCGCAGATATGCGATGGCAATAGAAAGAAGCTGCAGCACGGCGAGGACATAAACGTAGTATGACCGCTGCCTCCTGCTGTTCGGGCTGATAGTTTTGGCATTCGGGCTGAAGGGGTTTGTAATAGCGGCAGAGAAGACTCCAGCACCGATGGAGATCATAGTGGCCGCCATGAGCCAGTCTGTGTGCTCTCTAACAAGCGGGCCACCGGGAACAAACGCGTAAGCAACAACCCATACGTGGAAGAGGATCAAGAAGACGTAGACAAGGCCTCCGAGACCGAACGTTGTAGAGGGAGAATGACGAGCAGCCGAAGAGACCAAAACGGGGGCAACGGCCATGACATAAAATGCAAGGGCTAGGCCGCCATAGAATCCAGTCCAGTGGCTGTAACATGTAAGTAGCGCAGCTCCGAGGGAACCGATACCGAAAGCAGTCCAGCTTCCAGCGACGCGTGGGCAGAAGAGACCATATACGAGACCGGCTCCCATCGCGAAGATCGTAAGCACACCGTGAGGCACGGCGATCGGTCCTCTCACCGGATATCCCTCCCAGACCCACGAAATCATGGTGCTGGAATCCGACAGAAGAGAGTGCATAGCGAACAGAAGACCGCCCATGCCGAACGCGGCTAACAGGGAAGGACCCTTCTTGCCAGTAGAGGGGAAATAGTCCCCTCCACTTGGTACAGGCTTCCTGTGAGATCTGAGAACAGCCAAGATACCAAGGAGTAGACCCATTTTGTTCCATCCACCGTTCTCCGCATGCATAGTGGGCCAGACAGGGTTATTGGTGCTGCATGCAAACTTGGCGACGCTGGACATGATCAGACCGATGCCCCAGGCAAGGATCCGAGACTCCAAGCGGGGGCTTTGGGTCTTCTCCGCGTGGAAAATACCGGACCATGTAAGAGCATTGCAGGCAACACTGAAAGTAGTGACGAAAAGTCTGTTGGTAGGATTCTGCACCTTGTAGGCGAGCAGCCCAGAAAGTGACAGAAAGTGGAAAAGCCGTGGGTACTTGGCCACCGCGGTCTTCAGAGTAGGAATTGCTAGAAGGAGAGGTGACATGTAGGCGACAATAGCGGCCTCATACCCAGAAATACCCATGTGCCAAAGAGGGAAATCTAACGTTATCAGACATAACCTTTAAAGAATAAAAGCTGAACTTACACCAAACAAGAAGTCCGAGAGCAGTCGCCATCGACCAGAAGACATACTGTGGTCAGTCAGTAAATGCGTATGATGCAAGGAAAATTTAAGGATAGGTATTACCCCGTTGTAGACGTCCGCGGCGGCATCCAGGACTTCAGACCAGAAGAAGCCCTCGCCAAAGGTGTTTCCAACGGGCTTGCCCTTCCTAACTACGAGTCAACAGTGAAACCAAAATGTCTTTGGTGAGCGGGAAATACACACTCTTTTTCAAGGACAGAGTCCGCAGTGGTCTTCAACTGCCTAATGTTTCGAAGCTTAGGACATGTTTTCAAACCCAAACAACCATTATTCGGCCACTCTACATTTTCCCATTTTGCTTGGTTCACTTTGGGAGCCACGGTACATACCCTCTGCTGACCCCTTTCACGTCCCTCACCACGATCTCAAATGCATCAAAGTCTAATGCCGTGACCGCATCGAATCCCACGTCGAACAAGATGAGAG